AGCATTGTAAATGTGTCTCTGACACTCCCCTCCACCCCCCACCTCACCACCACCAGAGATAATCTATGTGCTGTCTTGGATATCAACGTATTTATGATTAACTTAAAGAGTTTATATACTGTATTAAAATATGACACTTTTCTTAGATTTAGCATATGGTTGAGATCTTCCTGCTAGCCTTAATAATAAGGGTATAATTAATAATAATTCATAACTTTAGAATATAATTCTCTTTGGTGGTGGGGATCAAATCTGACTTCACATTTTGCTCCATAAGGTGCTAAAAATCTATGACCTATAAAATGAATACATATTTCAAACAAATCACCCATATTTTTTTCTACTTGTATACTTTCCTAGTAATATTTCTTATTTATTTACTTTTATATATTTTTATTGATGTCAGAGAGGAAAGAAGAGGGAGAGAGAGAAAGAAACTCCAAGATGAGAGAGAATCATGGATGGCTGCCTTCTGCAAGTCCTCACTGGGGATAGAGCCCACAACTTGGGCATCGAACCTGAGACCTTTCAGTTCGCAGGCCGACGCTCTATCCATTGAGCTAAACCGGCTAGGGCTTTCTTAGTTATTTAAAAAGCCTTTTCTTTAAAATCATGTTTAACAGGAGAACTATCTACATATTATTTACTGAGTTCCTACTGAGTCCCCAGCAGATCGTTTCCAGTATTTTCTGACAAAGCACCAGACAGAAGACACTACTCACACACCATTTGTAGGCTGCCACATTAAACCTGTATTTCTGGAAGGCTGAGAGGTGTGGAGAAAAACAAATGGAAAGGTATTATTCATGACCAATTGATCAATTAGAGTGCTTTTCATTAAAAAACATAAAAAAAGGCGGAAACAATTTAGCAATGACTGTTAGAAATGCATGAAAACATTATTAATGTTGGATTTTTTCTCATTTATTTTTAGTTCTCTTTAGAAAATTACACTTGAGAGTTTTCAGTAATGGCAATCAAAGGAGCAAATAAGAGCACTGAGACCCTTTGTGATGTTAATGAAGGGGTAGGGACGATCCCCAGCTTGTAAGGCCTTTTCTGGGTAGTTGTTTCAGAAGCCAGACTGATTTACAGAATGTCTGAGTGCAGGAGATAACCAATTAGGGAAGTCACCTTCTAACAAGACTCATCCTTTGTCCCAGGAAGAAATCCAGTGTGGTCTTTTATAATTCTGACAATGGCTATACTCTTGTGTTTTAGCAGCGACATCTTAGACAGTACAGGAATGTGGAAAATAAGAAATTATTTTCCCTTGATATATCAAAATATCATCTCGTATCTTGAGGCTCCGAGGTCTCCTAACCTCCCTCTCCTATTATTCCTTTCAGTTTTTTTCCTTCTTATTCCTTTATCATTTTACATTTTTCAGTTCCTAGTATTATCTTTTATGTTTCAAGTTTCTTATACAGAGCCTGAAGGTATATAAATACAATAAGTGAAATCTATTGCTCTAATTCAGATGAACAAAACCAAAAAACATTTTGGTAGCAACATTCCCAGGTTTTTAATAACTTAAAACTTGGATGGTGGCCCTAACTGGTGTGGCTCAGTGGCTAGAGCACCAGCCTGCAGACTGAAAGGTCCCAGGTTTGATTTCTGGTCAAGGGCATGTACCTTGGTTGCAAGCACATCCCAGTAGGGGGTGTGCAGGAGGCAGCTGATGTTTCTCTCTCATTGATATTTCTAACTCTCTATCCATCTCCCTTCCTCTCTGCCAAAAATCAATAAAAAATATATATATTAAAAAAAACACACAAACTTGGATGGTGGTGGTGGTGCTTGGGGATTGATGGGTCCTGTTACTTATTTCCATTCAGTTTCATTTGTGTTGCTTCTCCCTGACAGATCACCTGGGTTCTAATCTGGATTCTTACATACTAGTTAAACGACCTTGTGCAAGTTGCCTAACTTCTCTGTACCTCAGTTTTCTCACTTGTGAAAGAAGGATAATATCAGCACTTATTTCATTGTGCCATTATGAAAAGCAAATGATTTAATACTTTCTAAGTGTCAGACCAGTGCATGGCAAATAACAGACACTGTTTTAGGAACTTTATATGTATAAATTATTTCATCTTCAAAATGATAGGAGGAGATAGGTGCAATTATTACTGTCACTTTATAGCTTAAGAAACTAAGGCACAGAAAGACTAAGTAACTTGTCCCAGTTGGTCCAATTAGTAACTGAAGGATTGGTTTCAAACCCAGACTGTCTGGCTTGACAGCAAGCATTCAGTAAATGTTACTTGTTGTTGTTACCTGAACTTAAAACTCAATAAATGTCTCCTGTTGCCCTGGCCGGGTAGCTCAGTTGGGTGGAGCATCGTTGCAATACGCCAACGTTGCAGGCCGGATCCCCAGTCAAGGCACATAGGAGAACCAACCAATGAATGCACAAAGTGGAACGACAAATCAATGTTTCTCTTTCTATCTCTCTCCCTCCCTTCCTTTCTCTCTAAAAACCAAACAATAAAATTTTAAAAAGTAAAAAATACTTATAAAAAATAAATATCTGCTGTTGCTGCTGATAATGATGAATTTGTATGTTTAATCCTTCTTCAAAGTGTACTAAGATGTATAAGACCCCTAACGGAAGAGTCGATTTAGGCAAGGATTATCGCCCAAAGTCATTGGTGAAGTTTGTTGGGACACGGGGTATTGCCATGTGCCAAAGTGTCACCTGCTCAGATTACTTCTCAATTGCAAAGGAGAAAAAGGTATTTTGCAACAGAGATCCTTGAAGTGAGGTCGCTACCTTGAGCCATGATCAAACGGAGCATCACAAATAGAAGAACAACCTGGCATTTTGCACCTCCTGATGAGATGCAATATAGAGCACCTTGCAATAAATGCTCATTTGAAATATAATAAGTGTGTTAGTTCTAACTTTGAGTTTACAAGGAATACAAGGGGTAAAGGAAGAAATTAAATGATAGCATGAGGCAACAACAAATCCAGAATGTGGAACATTCCACAAGATAAATGGCCTAACCTTTTAAAAAATTCAACGTCAAATAAAAAGACATAAAACACCAAGGCAAAAAATGTGCTTTCTTTTTTAACAATCAGATCCAGTTTTGTTTTGTTATTTTTTAGGTATGGAAGTCATTTCAGGGACAAATGGTGAAAGTTAGGTATGGCCTAGATATTAGATAATATTAAGGAATTACTGTTCATTTTCTTAGGTATAATGATGGCATTGTAGTAATATAGGCAAATGTCCTTCTTTTAGATGTGTACTGAATTATTTAGAGATGAAATGTCATTTTGCCTATAACTTACAAGTAGTTCAGAAAGAAATCACAAACAAATGTAACAAATACAGCAATAAATTCACAACTGCTGAATCTAGGTGATTCTAGAGGTGTTAATTGTACTAATATTTCAACTTTAATTCTGAACATTTTCTTCACTTTCTTCATAAGATATTTGTCTTACATCTTTGAAGAACATGTAGGACTTTTATTTTCACGTACTTAATAATAGTTTTGTGTTTTAATTTCCTAAAATGTTTGCCTCTAAATTAATATTTAAAAAGAAAACTTTTTTAAAAAGTTACTAAATTTCTATTGACTCAAGTTTATTGAAAACTGTTATTAACATTGCTGAAGAGAATTCAGTGCCTAACATATAAATGTCCAATAAATGTTTGTCAGTGTTCATTTATGTATGTAGTATGCTTTCCTAAGGCCTGCAAAGTAGAGAGAAAGAGGGAGGGAGAGAGAGAGGGAGAGGAGGAAGAGATAGAGATAGAGATAGAGATAGAGATAGAGATAGAGATAGAGGTAGAAGTAGAGGGAGAGGGAGAGGGAGAGGGAGAGGGAGAGGGAGAGGGAGAGAGAGAGAGAGAGGGAGAGAGGAGGCTGTGCTGTTTCTTTATGGATCAAGATATGCTGGGCAAATACTTGAGATGGGCAAAATGGGGGCCAATCGACCCTATCTTTTGATTCGAATAACTTAGGTTGTGAAGATTCTTGACCAAGTTTTGAGTTTGTTTTGCAAAGGCATGAAAATGAAGAATCTGTCCCTAGGATTAATCCAGAAGCAACTACTATTACTTGTTTAGAAAATACTGATGGAATCACACTTAATAACAGTTTTGAACAATTGTAGACTTTTCTTGATTCAGGAAAAGAGGCAAGTTTTGCTCAAGTTTCGGCATGAACCCTACAAGTCACCAACACCAGTGGATGTTATTCTTTGAGGATCAATAAATATGTGGAAACTAGAGTCATTTTCAGCTCGTCCAGAAGGCAATGATTCTCAAAGAGATGGGTTTAGGTAGTAAGTGAGATATACTTTGTATAAGAGGTGGGAAGAAAATGATCGAGATTCTAAAAAATAATAATGATATAATTTTGTGTTTTCAAAGTGCCATTTTCCTAAGGCACTTCATATCTATGTTAACTCATTTATTCTTATAATATCCCTATAGGGTAGACATAGAACTATTGAAATTTTTTTAAAAAGGGATTTTTATCAGGTCTAAGATGTGGAAGAAATTCAAAAGGATATTATATTGGCAATAGTGATATTTCTTCATATTGAACAAACTGATCACCTCCTTCCCCTCTGCTTCAGTAAAGTCTTTTTAAAAAGATAAAATCTATTATAATTTAGGGAGAATAAGATTACAGTTTACTACAGGGAAGACACTCCCAGTTCAATCTAAAAAGGTAATTTTATTCAATGATATACGGCTGTCTCTCTTAAAAAAAAAAAAAAAATTCTCAAAAAAGTACAAATCAGAATTTTTAAAACTTGAAATTTAAATGCACTTAGTTGACTATTTACATAGTTTTCTTTATTTAATAATGGGTCCTTTTACAAAGAGAATCACTTTAAATTATTTAAAAAATATTAAGTTTTATAAAAAAAAATACACTGGCTTGTTAAAGCAGAATATACTTACAGTAAATGTTATTTCTGAAACCAAAAATAAGAAAAAAATAGGAAAGGGGACCACCAAGGACCTAAACAAGCTATGATAAATGTAATTGTACAGAACAAGAGTCTTCAACCTGAGGTTTCCCATTCTCAGATGACACAATAGAAGCAACATGTAATCCTTTCCATTGGATTTTTAGATCCCAAATTTTTCCTCTCAATTTATCTAGGGATGCTTATTTTCAGTAATGTGCAAATTAAGAGCATAGGCTTAATTAACAAGGCCTAATTTGGAATATATAAATACAATATTTTCCCCCACGAAATCATGTTTAAATACAATATTTTAAAATTAGTAAAATCCTTGGCAGGTGTGTTCAGTCCTCACATGCAGGGACAGATGGGGCAAAGAGCATAGAGGAGGTATCTTTTAAGACTTGATGCCTGAACTAAAGACAGACCCAGGGATATAGCATTAACGGTTAATAAAGAGACGAAGATAGACAGCACTCTTCTCAAAATCTCTTTCGACATAACGTTTTCTTTTTGTAAAGAAACCCAAACTGGAGTTCTTTGTAAAGGTAACACAAGTACTAACAGAAGTAGACATGAGAGCAATAAGAGAAATCCTGACCTCAGCGTACTGGTGTTCATTCATTGCTGCTCAGCCCCTCACCTCCACTCCCCAGTTTGAATCAAATGCTGACTCTGGTGAAGTGGAATCTCACCTTTGTGATGCTCCCAGGGCCTAAAGTCTCTGAGATGGCTCAGAGGCCAGTCAGCGGAGGCATTTTTCTGTAATGGGCTGGGGAAGGAACAGGTCTTCTAGTTCATCTGCTCCATAGAAGTCAAATCCTATCACCACAGCCACAGCCACAACAAATGATTTAGAGACCTTAGCTGATGGACCAGAGTATTAAAAGCAATATTTGGAGAGCCCATGGGGTTCATTTTAATTGGATCTGACTCATAGAGAGCATTCTGCAAATTATAAAATTGTTCAAGATGTCTAAGGTATGTGGACCGATGTATAATGACATACCTTTCAGAAGAGAAGCGGTTGAGTCTGTATCTTGGCTTTGACACTGAGTTATTAGAATCCTCTCCTGCAAGAAGGAAGATGCATTCACATCCAAATTACTGCATTTCAGGGTACAGATACACCTTGTGCCGTCTTCCAATTACCACACTAAACAGAGGGTACATGCTCACAGAACCAATAAAGTTCCTCCTCCTCCCTACTTCTTGCTCCCTCCTCCCAACTACCCCCAGTCAGTCCTGCAGTCTGCAGGCAAACCACACAGGAACTAGCAGATATGGGGCTTCAGAGAGTTGGGCGTGAGCCTTAGATTATGTGGTTTTGTTTTCTTGCTGCCAGAGTTGAACTAAAATGCAGGAGGCTCACTGAAACACTGCTTCTTTATGCTTGGTTTCAGTTTTAACCAATTTCCCCCTGAACCATTATGTTCACATAAGAATATTTCTAGACCCGGAGATGATCCATTGGCAAGCTGCTGCTGGTCTTAAGGAAAACGCTCATTTCCTCTTAGTATAGCCAAGCATCCATAGGAACATTAAGAATCCTTAGGGGAACTTACTTAATACCACTCCGGTTCACTCACAATATTAAAATCCCAGGGAAAATGCTTTCTCAGTGCACTTAGCCCATAATATTACCCTTAACAAACAAACAAAAGAGAGAAAAGCTCTGAGCCAGGATGCGTTCCAACCTGTTTTACCGCTGTCAGGACATGAACTGAGACTGGCTACTTCAACTTCTGGGATTCACTTTCTTTTGAGTTGGTTAGACTAAAGGATTTCTGAAATTTTAAGATTTTTTTCCCCCACTGCCTTAGTTTTTGTCACCTCAACTTTCTTGCAACTCTTCAAATTTATAACTCACCCGTCTCTCTAAGTTCCTCTCTTTCATAACAAGTACAGCTTGTGAAGGCCTCTTTCCATATCTTTTATCTTGTTGGAAATGGATTGAAACATTGCATCTTTTGTACAAAATTAGATACATTTTTGCTCTATCTGGTTTGGCTCAGTGGATAGAGCATTGGCCTGCGGACTGAAGGGTCCCAGATTCGATTCTAGTCAAGGGCATGTAATACCTTGGTTGCGGGCACATCCCCAGTAGGGGGTGTACAGGAGGCAGCTGGTCGATGTTTCTCTGTCATCGATGTTTCTAATTCTTTTTTCTTTTTTTTAAATATATTTTATTGATTTTGTACAGAGAGGAAGGAAGAGAGATAGTTAGAAACATTGATGAGAGAGTCAACGATTAGCTGCCTCTTGCACACCCCCTACTGAGGATATGCCCGCAACCAAGGTACATGCCCTTGACGGGAATCGAATCCGGGACCTTTCAGTCCCAAAGCCGACGCTCTATCCATTGAGCCAAACCGGTTTCGGCCAATGTTTCTAATTCTTTATCCCTCTCTCTTCCTCTCTGTGGAAAGTCAATAAAATATATTTTTAAAAAAGCATTAAAAAATTCTCAATTTATAAGACAACACTGTTCATTGATGTTTCTAACTCTCTGTTCCTCTCCCTTCCTCTCTGTAAAAAAAATCAATAAAATATATTTTTTAAAAATTAGACACATTTCAATTTGCTAACTGGCACCGTTCAGAGTTGAGGAACTGTCCCAAGATAAAGAGGAAACTGCTGGCTCACAGGATATTCCTAACATTAATCCCTTGAAGGCTAAGAAGAAAGGTATTATGTAAGACTCAATTTGGGATTCTAAAATTTAAATTTATTCTATACTTTGAAATTGTATCTTTTTCTATCTCTTTGCCCTTTTATGCCTAAACCTTGCTCAAGATGTACCCTTTTGAGCTTTTATTTGGTAATGGTTTTCTTTTTAGAAAATTGAAATAGAAAAGAAGAATCTGGTGTAGAATCAGCAATTACCTTGGTCATAGTAGGCAGATGTTCAGTAAGTACAGGGGGTCCCAAAAAATGTATACACACACTTTGAATAATTATAAAGGCAGTGTTTAATAACATACATTTCATTTTCAAAATGTGTATACATTTTTTTGGGGACACCCTGTATTTGTTAAACGAGTTAAAAGAAGTAATTTGCTATGCCCAACTCTTTGAAGGACTTTCTTTTTAATAATGCCAGCTTGTTGAATTTCCTTAAATGTCTGAACAGGGTCCCCGTTATTTCCTCATGTTGTAAAGATAGAAATTTCAAGGTAACATGTTGCCGATTTTAAATCAATGACATCTCAAGTTTGGCCTCCGTATCCTTTAGTCTTCCTAGTTTATGGACCTGGATCATCATTACGCTCAACAGCTCCACTGCTGGTTTTCAAACACTGAATCCTCTGGCCACAGGCCTTATCCCAAGTTAGTGGTTACACACTGAATCCCTGAACTTCCCTGGCTGGGGAGTGGGAAGAAAGGAAAAGCTGAGTAGTGCTCTATAGGAAGCACCATGGTGTTTTTAGCTTGCACCTTAATGAGGAAGCTACTTTTCCATAGGATACTGCATTCCAGGGAGAACATAGCCCTTCCCCTAACTAGTATGGGCAGAGTGCAGAGCAGGAAAATCTCTAAGAGAAGTTATTTCAGTAGTAACAATCAGCAGATGTGATAGAGCATATTGGGAGGGTAGGAAGGCCACTTATTGGTTTATTTCATAACAGTTCTGTAATTAATTGAACAAGTGCAAAGGCAGAACCTTGGAATAGACTGTAATGTGATAATGGCAGCATTTCCGCTCTCACCATCATGGACACTCAGAAGAATATAAGCAAATTTGGGAGGGTTTAGGAATATGTGAATTCTCAACTTACCTACAATGGAGAATTTTTCTTTTAAAACTGTATACTTGTTTAAAAACTTTTAGCAATTCTTTTTGAGGGAATTGTTGTTAGTATCAGAACTTCTTGTGCATAACCATGTTTAATCTAACTCTATGGTAATATGTGCTTCTTATTCAATAGGGTAGATCCAGTCACTCTCTTTTCATTCATTAAGTAATGTTTGGACACCTACTTGGTGTCAGGCCTGTTCTAAGGGCTGGGAATGTATCAGTGAACAAAACATGGCTCTTACCATCCTGAATCTTACTTCTGGCACAAGGAGAAATAGGACACATGTCAGATGGTTGTACTACCACAGAGAAACCTAAAATGGGGCAAGAGTCAGAGGGAGTATGGCTGAGGTGGGGGTTGTGATTTTACTGGAAGATCAAAGGACGTTTAAGCAAAATCCAAAACAAAGCCATAGCACCAGCCTATTAGCTCTCTGGACTAACAGCTTTTGCAGGTACAGGGACCAGCAGGGGCAAAGGCTTAAGGTGGGAGCAAGCCTGTCAGGATGGAGGTTAGAGAGACAGGAGCCAGACACTTAGGGCCTTGCTAGCCATGGCAAGGTCTTTGGGTTTTACTCTGAGTGAGATGGGAGTCAATGGAAGATTTTGAACTGGGTATTATATGATCTGACTTGGGCTTTAAGTTTTAAAAGGATCACTCCAGGTTATTGTGTTGAGATTAGATTATAAGAGAGTAAGAACAGAAGCAGGGAGACCAGTTAGGAGGCTACTGTACTATTCCTGGCAAGAGATGATGGCAACCTAGGACAGCTTGTGGGAAGAGAAGATGTGGAAGTAATTGAATTCTGAATATACAGGGTGACTGTAAAGTCTGGAAACATAGATATTGTTCTTTTATTGTGTATTAGAATGTGCACTGATACACCATTTATTAACTACAGACCACTTATTATCCAGATTTAGTATGAAAGATGAGCTGAGGAATATGATGTGCGGTGTGACAAAGAGAGGAGTCAACGATGACTCCAAGGTCATGGCCTGAGAAACCAGAAGCAAGGATGTGTCACTTACTGAGATGGGGGAGCAGGTCTGGGAAGTCAGGAATTTGGACATATTACATTTGAGATGTCTGTGAGAAATGCCAGTAGGGGGGCTGGTCAGGAGAGGTTAGAGCTGATAATGAAACACTGAGAGTTGTTGAAAGAAAAGGATGTTTAAAGCTGTGAAACTGAATAAAGCCGCCTACAGAATACAGAGAACAGGCTGCTGTAAAGCTGAGAAGTCAGAGAAACGAGAAGAAACCAGCCAAAGAGATGAGAAGGTGACCTAGAAATCAAGAGAAGAAAACTTTGCTGAATTCTATAAAACTCTGAGTTTCAGGGGTGGGGAGGAACACACCAAGTTATTGTAAAATGATGTCTGTATTTGGTGAGTACTACATTATTGCAACTAAATTATGGTGCCCCCAAATGGAGGAAAGCAGATAAAAAGGACCTCTTACATAATGCCACTTTCCGGAGTTAATTCCACGGGGTAGGTAGCACTATACTTATGCAAAGTCTAATCAACTCCCTTTTACATGTATCCAGAGATTCTGTCTAAAAGGAGAAAACGAATGGGTTTAAAAAGAAAAAGTGGGATCTCTGTCCTTCTCAAAATACAACAGGTGGACTTGTGAATGAGAATATCAATGGGAGCTCAATATCAAGGACCAAAGCTAATCCTTAGGGTAGGGGAAAGGGCACAGAACAGGACACAGCACATTTGTGTTCAAGTTCCAGCGAAATCACTTGCTGGCCGAATGCTACTTGAGTAATTGCGGGCAAGTATGTAACCTCTTTGTTCCTGCAAACTCAGCTCAAGGTCACCTACTCCAGGAAGCCTTCCCTAACTTTGTAGATTTAGACAAATCCCTTTTTTACTCCCTATCACTTTATCCTTGCCTTTATTATCAACCTATTATAATTGCTGATTTACTCCTGTCTCCTCTATGAGATATTAGACTCTAATTTCCTTGTATTGCATGGCTCAGCAGAGTGCATGGCACACAGCAGGTGCTCAATCATGCAGAATGAATTCATGTTCCCAAACTCACTGCCTCCTAAGTAAATTGGGATAATTAATGCCTACTTTTCAGAAGATATGCTTAGAAAAAAATCTTCATAAGTGGTAACGCAATATATAAAATACTTGTTTCCCTCCCCCCTTACTTTATAGAATAGCACTTCAGCATGTAATTCATGGCCTTGAACAACCTCTTTCCTGGCCACCTTTTCTATTTCCCTCTGCTACTACCCCACTACTCTATATTACCTCTGGCTAGGCAATATTTCAAGCAGACCAACTTCTTTCTTATCTCCTACATTTTATATTATATGTATCTATCTACACGTCAGCATGAGCAATGTGGGCTGTTCTAATAATAATCATTTTAGTAGTAAGAACTGAAAACAAACGTTACTTGCAC